TCTACAAGAAATACTAGGAGAGAAGGATGCTAGAAGAGTCTTAAAATGCCTCAAGGAAGGTTAAGGGTTGTGGCCACTCTTCATTAAACCTAAGTTGACGTAATCTTGTTCTTAAAATTAGGAGCATTATTATATCTTATTTTTATTAACCAAAATTGATATTTAACTTGTTAATTTAGTATTTTTTTCACTTGATTCCCCTTTGTGTAGTTGTTGAAAATTTTTTCAATATATTGTAATTCATTTAAATATATAATTTATGTGTGTTGAATGTGTCTTACATTAGCTATGTATAAATATATTTGGTTGGTGTTTGATAAAATGTCTTGTGTGTAAAATTATGTATTAGACTTACCATAGACTGAGCTACACATAAAGGGAACCTAAGGAGAATTTTGATCACTTTGCACTTAACTAAGAAATTGATCAGGGACTTGTATAAAATTGTGCAAAGACTTAGTTAATTGAATTGGTTAGGAAAGCATACTTATACAAAATTGTGTAAGGGGTTTAATTTTATCAATAGAGTGAAAATTAACTTAAGCCTAATTAAAAAGAGTAGACAAAGAATCTAGCATCCCACAACTCTTAGGAATCCACTTTAAAAAGGGTTAAAACACTCATTTCCATTTCATTAGTTAATTAAGTTTTTAATTAAATTTGTCCACTTAATTTAATTAGCTAAAATCAATCAACTCTTGGTTAGTTTAGCTCACTAGTTTAGCTTTAATTAATCTTAGTTAGCCTCCTTAGTGAAGAATAACCTAAGTTGTCACTAATACTATATTAGTGTTAACTTAGTTATTTTAGAGTGTAAGCGACATACGCTCTCAATGATCAAGTAAACAATTGGATATGTGAAGTTAAAATTGTAAAAAATTAAAATGATAGTTGTAATTAAATTATTAATGAAATAGTTACAAATTATTTAATGGAAAAATATAACTTTGGGTTCTTACACTTTGCTTGAATTTTGTTATAAGTTCTTACACTTTTTTTGGTGTTTCAGGTCCCTACCTTTTTTTGATGTTCTAGGTCCTTCTATGAGGGTGTTATAGGGATTTAGAACACAATATATATATATATATATATATAGGGATCTATAGCAAAATTCGAATAATGTACATGGATCCAAAATTATGTTTTTTCTTATTTAATTAATGTAATGTTTAATAAGGGCATTATTGTTTTCGCACCTCAATTTCAAATTACACTCAGATTCCAAAGGATCTGGGTATAATTTTTAAATTTTGTGAGATTTATTTATAAATAATTCTGCTCTATGGATCTATATATAATATAATTATTCCTAGAATCTAATCTCTTTGAACCACACAAGCCAATTGTCAATCCTATAGCGCAAAACAACGTAAGATTCAAATCTGAATATTAATGTGAGAACTTAAATGGTGTGTGATAAAAGAAAATGGATTTCTCACTAATCATAAATATCAACAATCCAAATTAAAAATATGAATAGTTTAAATTCAATTTTTTTTGTAATTATAAGGAATAGTTTCCATCCATAATAGAAAATATTGCTCTTTGTGAGGTATTGAAAACAATGAGTAGACATCTTTCAATTAAATTCATATATGAAGACTGAGATTCAAACTACTAATTATTTATTTAAGTGACAAGAGCATTTATTACTCACACTAATTTTAATTAGTAAATTCAATGTTATTTTAATTTTAATTTTTCACTCCATCCTATACCTAAATAATATAAGTAATGGATGAGATCAGATACGCATGTTAAGAAATGGCTTCGTATATAATAAAACTATTGTTGAATGATATGTTTTGATGATATAAAATCAAGAGAAAAAGTTTTGTTACTTATACATATCAAGTCTTATAGATGATTAAGTGACAATATTCTCAAGAACATGAAAAACAAGAAAAGACTTAGAATTTTTAGGTTTATTATTTGTTTCTTTTCTTAGATTCTAATATGAAAACTATTTAGAGCAAAAGCACTAAATGAATGGTAGAATGCATCCATTAGAGATTGTGTTTTAGGCTCATATAGTCTTGAATCTTCATTGTCAAACACTTAGAGTACATTTGTGCTAAAATGTCATGCTTGTTCTTGTATGAATACATGCGTGAATCAACCTTCCCTTATGCATTATAGAACTTAGTAGATTCAATTCAAACTTGAGTTAAAATTGAAACTCACTTGAATTAAGACGCATTGCTCGATTTTGTAGGTCAATTCGCATGTGACCTAGATTGGTCCCCTGCGTGTTTGAGCCAACATAAAAGACAAGTATCTTGAGCTTGGTTAGATCTTGCTTAACTTTGGATTGAGATCATGCTTGAATAAGCCATTATATTTAGACTTAATTCTATGAACTAACTCTTGCTTGAGTTAGTTGTTATCCAAGCTTGAATTATCCTTAAAGTCAAGTTGAATTGTACCAAAAAGTAATCCATGCATGACAACTTGGTGATTCATGCTTAGGTTCTCATACTTAGTTTATTTCAAGTCTGACTTAGAGAGTTTTAAGCCATGATAAGATAATTCAAGTTTGATTCAGATGTGACTCAAGCATGTTTGACTCACAGAGAGCACATTTCTAATCCACACTTGATTCAACTTGTACTCACACATGTTTGAGCCCACAATAGAAGCAAGGAGATTTTGAACTCTATAACACACTTAAAGCATAATAGCCTCACACTTGAACTAGACAAAAGTAAACCTATAGTGCACAACATGTGAATCATACTCTTACAAGTATTTAATGCACTTTGCAGAAAAATGTTTTTTCTAGCAAACATCACTTCCACATGTCTTCAATAGCTATTTTTTTTATTTTAGTGTTCCTAATGTCCCTTTTAGTGCAACTATAAATAGGACCTCATTTAAGTTGAGCATTAAGTGTGTTGCATTCAATTTCTACTAACTGCATTCATTCTTTTGTGAAAAAACTCCAAAAGAGTAGCTTTCATTTATTCATATCCTTGTAAGTGTTGTTTGTGAAATCAACAATGGTGTAGTTTTGTGATTGTACTGTGTTTCTTGAAGTTTGTGTTTTTAATGAAAAATCTCAAGTGTGATTTTAAGGATTAAAAGTAGGTCAAGTGATTAGGTTGAATTGGAATAAATATATTGTGTCAAGCTTTCTCTTCTAAACTCTTTTTCGTTAATAGCATTCTGCATTAACCTGTTTTTAGAGTCATCGTCATCTTGGGTTGGAAAAAATTTTGTAAAAATTTTAATTCACCTTCTATTGGGTGCCAACCTTATCCAACAACTATTTTTACTATTTTATCCCCAATAAATATAAAGTATTGGGTACTAAGGGGTGTTTAGTTTAATTGATTAAGGGAGTTGAATTAATTTATTTCAGTTTGAGTTCTAAGATATATAATTGTATTAAATAAACATGTCAAAGACATTCCCAAACTACTTTTGCAGCTGCCATTAATTTGTAATTAATGATCCCACACAATAAGAGTTCGGATTAGTTTGGACAGAAAGTAGTAATACTTTTAAGTTTCTCAACATACCGAGGTAATAGAATAAAAAAAAAATTAGAATATTGAGTGGTTGGACAACACAGATTTAGCGTTGGCGAAAAAGATAATGGAGAGTTAAATGAATAAATAAGAGATTTTGTGAACATGACATTAAATGCTCATGAACATTTGTAATATCAATTACTTATATTTGGTAACAATGATTTCTCCCATTTTTTTGCCCACGTGAGGTTTTTTTTTTTTTTTTTTTTCGGGGGGGCCAATACATGAGGTAATGAAGGGAGTGTTTTGATGGATATATACGTAATTGTTTTTTTTTTTTTGGTGTGAAATAGGAGCATTCGTTGACAGTAGAAATTAGTCTTCTCAAAATAGAAAATGCAAATGGTAAACCCCTTTTTAAGACTATAGTTTTACCCGTATATAAAAGCTGAAAATCATTCACTTGATCTTGTTTATAAATTATTTTAAATATGTTTTATTAGAATTAGAAAATTTTTTTGCATCAAAAGAATCAAGCAAAACTTTAAAACTTATTAATTTTATATAAAAATTTAATAAGCTCTCAACCTATTAATTAAATGTGCATGCTTTCTTAATAATATATTTTTTTCACTACCATTTAATGAAACATAAAAGAAAAAATTTATAATGAAAATTTAATAATGACTTATAAATAGGAAAAAAAAATCTTCTCCCTCCACGTTATAAATAAGATTGAAAAAGTAAATCCCTAACTATTTACATAAAAACATGTCTCTATGCCCCGCCCGCCAACATGAATTGGTAAGTGTCACGGAGAAAACTTCCCACAAAAGGCTTAATTGGCACAAACTTCAGGCAAGAAAGCCTCTAGAACTTAAAAAGCGGTACTCATGATAGATGCTTGTGAGCTCGCATGTCATGACTTTATGAGATTTCAAAATCCAATACGCTCAACTTTTTTTCAGTAAAAAATCGTAATATTTAGCACTGCCACATCTCATTTTCACTCATTTTGTGTTTGTAAAGGAAGAGATATAATAAGAATGTGTTTTAACAAGTTGGAAACTGGACCGAAGGCCAATAATTCACCACACCCATAAAATATGGAATCCAGTGAAAAAGACTTACACAAGATCAGATATGCAAGCATCCTCCTTTTACAGGTGCTTCACCTCACCACCACCTTACTTTAAAATGGTGCAACTCACTTTACTTTATTACCACCAACTCATTCATTCCCAGTATTTAATTACAATAAACTTTAAAGAACCAAATTCCACACTCAGCATATCACACCAAAACCAAAAGCTAGATAGCTCTGTTCCTTTTTTCATTTTTTTGAATCATAGAGACTCGAACTTTGATGATATCGAGTCCGTTTTAAAAGCAAGCATGCATGGCTGCTATTTCTACAGTACCTTCCTGTTCATCAGTTTCTGTACTTTTTTGGCTTTTGAACTTTATAGATATGATTTTTTCTTCTTTTTTATTTTCTTCACATGCAAATTAACACCGGTTGATTCCTTTTATTTCATGGATAATAAACTATTACTCACGAATGAAAATATGACATGTGTCAGTCATCTAGGCGAGCTAGCCTTTATCTAGAAAAGCTTTAAGAACAAGAAGATTATCCCTTCAAAAAATACACATATATACATAAATACATACATACATACCAGTCTGTAAATTGAAGTTTCTCCAGAAAATTAATGATCTCTCTTTCAATTCTTCTGATGAGCTTATTTTCTTTGGGACAAGCCTTCTTCTTCTCACTAATCTTCTTCAGTTCATTCCTCTCAACTTTGGTGAAAATATCATTTTCCTGAGGAAAAGCTTGTCATTTTCTTCTGCAATAAGCTAAGGTTGCTGAAGCTTTGTCATGTTCCCAGAACACACTAGGCTTCGCCAGGCGGTCGACCAGAATTTCCTGCTCTCCTGAACACAATATTCAAATAAGGTTCTCAGAGAAAATTCAATGGCTGAAAGACAAAGAAAATTGAAGTCTCTTTTCTTTAATTATAGTGTATGCAGTACTTTAGCATGTATATAGCGGTTAATGAAATAGTTTCAGAGAGAATCATGCACTTCCACGCATGTTTAATTGTATTATTGTGCTAAAAGTAATTAAGGGAGGAACAAAAGAAAGAGAAGTAGGACAAAAAGGTTTTGAAAATTTCATAAAATGCAGAGAAGAACCATACGAAGTGAGCAAACTTTAATGCTTGTTGTGCACATTAATAAATAAAAACATTTGTGTAGAATAAAGTACTTATTAGCCACACTTTATCATTTCCTTTAAAGGGGGCTAAGTCTCTTAAAGTCCTGAAAGCAACAATCCAATGTAACAGTTAAAGCATAAACAAACACTCCCTGACATCTGGCTTTTCCCCTTTATTTGGATTTAGAAACAATAAAATAATACGAATCTGTCTGCTACATGAGGCATAAAATATGAAGCAGATTTTACTGGTACAAGATTGCTGTAATTGGAGACAGAGAGTATCTTATGCAAGCATCACTTTGCTTCAACTCCGTTGAAAAACACTAAAAACTGAATTAATAACTAAGCCAACATAACAATATATTAAAACCGAACTGAACCAAATCGAATTTCAGTTTGTTCAGTTGTGCTGGGCAAATTGGGATTTTTGGAAGATCATATGCAGTACTGTTGCAGCAGAAAATGTCCATGAAACATCTGATTGGCGACTATATATGCTTGTATATATAAAGTCACAAAATGAACTCAAAAAGGGAACAAATAAGTGCAGAAACACCAAACCTGGTAAATTCAAACGTGTGACAGATAAGTAAGAAGACTATTATATATATGTAAACTGAGAAAAAAGTTAAGACAAACCTGTTATGAATAGGATCTGATCCATTTGGGACTCTTCTTTTGCTCATGTAGTTGAAATCCAACTCTTGTTGGTTCATGGGTTGGTGTCTACCAATCTGCTGATGGTCTCCATGTTGGAGTGTTCTTCCATATCCAGATCCTAATCTTCCAAGCAATAGAAGACAGACATAGCCCACCACTAAGAATAACCTTAAAAGGAAAGAACAAGAAAGACCCATGCGTAAATTTTCAATCTTTTTTGCCATGGGAAGAAGGAGAGAAGCCTTGTACTGATATTAATAATACTGCATGATTTGATTGTTTGTGAATTTGGATATATGAGGTCTGTGTATATGAAGACAAAAGAAAGGAGAGGAGGAGGGGGGAGAGAGAGAAGGTATGTTGGTGGGCTAAGGCAAGAATTTTTTGTTCTCTTCAAACTCAAAGGATTATGGATGTAGGTTAGTTTTCTTTATAGGTTAGAGTTTGGGGGATTCTATTGCACTTTCTCGAGCGCAGAGAGAGAGAGAGAGAGAGAGAGAGAGAGAGAGATGGAGGGAACCTTTGCTTTATACTGAGAAGGTTCCAATACGACTCTCACCTTTTGCATATTTTAGCCCAAACACTTTGATTTGTGTATTTTCATGCAACTACGGTATCAGGAGAAAAATAAAATATACTTCCTGTTCTATCATCCTTTACGTGCAATGATGTAAAAGGAAAATACGTTATGAATGGATTATAACGACTATAAATAATCCCACTAAAAATGTACTAAATAATAATAATAACAAGTTTGACAATAAAATTGCTTCTACTGAAAAGTAAATATAGAATGCATATCACATAGAACATTATTTGCAAATAAGCTTGTTTTCATAAATAACCTATATGTAAATATCTTTGCAAGTGTTATTTGAGCTGTGAAAATTCTTTGATGAATATTGGTGATGAGCTTGTGGAAGTTGAGTTACCTACACTATCTTCTAATGGAAAACAGAGAAATAGTTGAAATGAAGAATTGCAATGAAACAAAGAATGAAACCAGTGGGGTAAAGAGGGGATAAGTCTGTTGATGTGTCAGAATAAAGAAAAGTTAAAAAAAAAAAAAGGAAATTAAGAACAACACAGGGAAAGCCATTGTGAAAAATCTCACAAAGAAAACATGTTAAATTATGTGGGTACAAAACCAAACAAAATAAAAACTCAGGAATATCATATATCAAGTTCAATTAATAAGCTTCAATAAAAACTTCAACATAATGTTACGTTAATCCCTAGTAGGCAATCTCAGAAGAAAATCTTCTGAATTTGTGAACTCCAGAGAAAATATGATTTACAGAACTCACAAAAGTTCTGTAATATCAGCTTAGGATTCGAACAAATAATTATATATTAAGAGAACGTAAAAATACTTTTGGTATAATAAGTCTAATAATTGAAACACTTTTTAGTCAAGTGCCGCCAAATTTGATGCCATATATAATATATGCTTCTTAGATCATACTTAAAACACTGGCAGCCAGACAAATGGTATATATATGTTTTTTTTAATTATATCTTAGCTTGCGAAACTCTAAATTAGTTTCGACTGTTAATTAGTTAATATAATACGTTTTTCAGTACTCTTATCAGAATCAAAATAAGGAATCGATCTTAATGATGAATTGAATGGCAAAAAGATGTACACATATATATGCACTAAACTATATAGAATAAAGATTAAAGGCACACAGATCAAGTTGGTTTCCTTTGAGATATATATATATATATATATATAAAGGGTTGTGACTTGTGGGGAATATAATATATATATATATATATATATATATTTGTAAGGAGACATGCACACTATATATGAGAGAGAGAGGGAGCTAGCGCGAGAGGGAGAATACCAATACATGATGTTCTTACTACTTCAAAATAAAGCATAAATCTTTTTATTTTTTAATGCCAACCGGTTTGTAGAAATAAAATTAAATTTTGAATAAATTGGATTGAGTTAGATAGATCATGTGTGTGTAAAGCTCTCCCAACTGTATGAGAAAGCGAGACAGATGGAGGGAGAACGCCAATACACAGTGTTCTCACCACTTGAGAATAAAGCATATACTCCCTTTTGTCCTTGCGCCTTTTTAAAAAATTCTTTGGTCCTTAATATAAAGCACGCACATGATAGGTATTCATTATATTTTTTTTTCAATCCTATTCCTATTTAAACTCATTAACTATGATATAGAAGGTAATGCAAATTATTTGAAAAAAAAAACATTTAAATAGGAGCAAAATTAAAAGTTGATTATAATTTCAGACAAAGCTAATAACTCAACTATCTTCCTTTGGTTTGGTGAAGTAGTTATATGTGCCTTATAATAAGAATTGAAGGAAGTAAATCTTTTTTTTTTATAATGCCAACCGGTTTGTAAAAATAATATTCACCACTATTGCATGGAGGACTTTTTACATTGATTATTTTGTATTTTCTACATCGGTTATTGGGTGAAGTAAAAAGGATAGAAATGAAAAGTTGACTTTCAACATTAGTCATATATATGTCTTGTATTACTAATTAGTTTTGACTAACTTGAATCAAATTAGGCAAGATAGTATATGTGTGTAAAGCTCTATCAATAGTAATTTTATGTGCATACAAGACTTTGCTTGAGGGAAGTATAGAGTCATTTAATTTGAACTAGCTAGCTGTTATTTGGTGAAGCATATATAAGGCATATTTTGTCTTATCCATATATTAGTCTTCATGAATCTATCAGTAAAGAAAACCCAAAAGTGAATATATATATATATATATATATATAGTTTGAGAATCCAATACTTCTCACTGTAATGGCTTCACCTTGAAGGTACTAGATCACTAAAAAAAAAAAAAACAGCTAATTTTCTAATGGATTAGTGACAGAATATTTTTGTTGGTAAAAACACCATTATTAATTCATTAGTGACAGAATCAGAGACAAAAATTTTTTGTCACTAAACAAGGATAAGTTATTCTTACTTTATAATGAAATGCATTTCGTCGCTAATCCGTTGCTAATTTTCCAATGAGCTCATTTTGTCACTAATTTATTAGGCGGACCAAAATATCATTGTCACGTCACTCGATGGACTAATATCACCTCACCATCACCTAGTCACACAATGGACTAGTGTCACGTCACCACCACATCATTTATCATTGCCATGTCAAATATTATTATCTACAATTGTGCCTTGACTAGGTTCAAATTTACAACCTCATACTCTTTAGTGCCTTTTCGTCCACCTTATTGCCAATTGAGCTGAAAGAAATATTTAGTCTTAATTGATAAATTAAATATATAATACTTGACCATACACACATATATTAATAAATATATTGTTTAAACTATTATTAAATATAGTATTTAAATTTACTTATTTTTTAACATTATATTTATTTATTAATATGAAAAATTAATTTATATAAAATAATTATTTCTATTATATTTATTTTAAAAAATTATTTTTGATAATAAATTTAATATTAAATTAAAAAATATTTTATTATCATTATATATTATTTTACAATTTGTATCTATATAATATATAATATTTTAATTTTTTAAATATTTTATTTTTATTTTTAAATAAGAATAATTAAGTATGAAATTTAAATTATTATTAATAATATAAAATAATTTAAAATAATAAATTATTTTAAATTATAATTTTTAAATTATTTATTTATAGCATAATAATAAATTATTAAATAAATTATATATAAATATATATTATAAATAATAAAATTAAATTAAAATTAATTTGTGATAAAATTAGGGACAAAATTATAACAAAAAGCTTTGTGAGGGAATTTTTCATAGCAAATTCCATCACAAAATCGAAATAAAATATCCTAACCATTAGTGATGGAATTTTTCATTAGTAAATTATTTATGACAGATTAATAACGGAATAATGATAAAATTTTAGCGACAGAACATTCCGTCACTAAATTCTGTTGCTAAATTAGTGACAGAATTAGCAATGGATTAGCAAGAAAAATTTATTTTATTACTAAATTCCATGGCTAATCCATTATTTTATTTTATTTTTGCAGTGGATAACTCAGTTTTACGAGAAAGCTTTAAGAATGGATGCCTTGCCTATGGCACATGTTTGATGTGGAATATTATATGTTAGTTGACACGTAGACAGTGATTTATCCTGGCGGGCATAAACTGAGTTTTTGCAATTTGATAATTGAAAACTTTTTTGTTTTGTTCGTTGTCTATTCTCTTTCTCTATTGCAATAATCGAGTGATGTCTCTTGTTAGTTATCCATGACTCATTCACCCTTTTCAGTCTAACTAGGTGAGACATATTACGCATGATCTCGTGTATTTACCTTTTATAATTTCCAGCTCCAAGCACCTCCAAAAGGCTAAAATTTACCACTCTAGCTCTGCTCCTTTGTGCTCTTCGAGTTCTTCTAGTTTTCTCCCTTTCGTTTTGCCCATTTTCGTGACTGATTTAAATTAGATTTTGCACTGTCTGCCATGGTGAATGACATACACAGTGAGCCCCATCTGCATTTTGGCTCCTTCATTTGGGCCCAATGTTTTCAGAATCCAATTGAAAAGTTCAACAGTTCATGATTTGTATGATTCAATTGGGTTAGACCAATGGTTAAATAGGTGACATAATAAGTAAATTAAAAAATTATATATAATAATTTAAATATAAAAAATAACTATGAAATTTCTACTTAACTTAAAAAAATTAAATATGTTAAGTTTATTATGACGTAACAAGTCATATTATACAACATAATATCAAATGATTAAAAAAATTAGTCATTTCCTAAAAAAATTCAGTAAAAACATTTAAAAATATTTTTTTAATAGTCTGGTTCTTGAAAACCGGATTTGGTTCTTGACTTAATTCCGGTTCTGGATCTAACCGTCAGTCTGAAACGGCCCATCCTGGCTCAACCTCTAAAATAGTTTTTATATATTGACCGAATCGAAATTCAGACCAATCCGATTGTCCAATTTTAAAATCACTGCTTGGGCCAGCTTGGCCAGTTCACTCCTTAGCACAATCCTATTACTCGACTACTAAAAATCCCAATTAATCCATTAGTCATTGAAAACATTATTAACTTAATAGATGCACCACATTAGTAATTTAACCTTTATCAACTCATTAATGCTGAATTAAAAATTTAGGATGTTATGCATTCAACCTTTTTAGTCTAATTATGTGAGATCTTGTATATTACAGAGTTTAAGAAATTAAATAAGTCTCATTATTCATGGCTTGTAAATAATATATAGGTTGTTCTATGTCTTACATTTTATAAATGAGTGGGATATATTTCATCATGTTGAATAAAATCTAACAAATGAGCTGTAGGTTATGATTTTATATCTTATATTAATGTCGTTGATTAAATTAGAAAAGTTTATTCAT